TGAACCCTACCGATCACCTAAACACTAGAATGTCCATTTACATTCTGACTGAATATGTAGCACTTCAAAATCTAAGGGCACTATGCTTATTAGGAGCATAACTAATAGAGGAGGGCAATCTACCTAACTTGGAGCCACTCCAAATTCTACATTTCCTTAAGAAGATATGATTGGAAAAAGTCGTTATAGGCATATAGACTATTCCATTGCTGCATTAGCGATAAATGGGGACACAATAGATCTTTTTGGTTACAGTGTATTAATACCCTATACACAACATAACATATGGTCGTAGAAAAAATTGTGTACATAACTTGTTAAAAAATGTATAGGACAAGAATGATAGAGAATTACATTACAAGCAACTTGGATTTTAAGAATTTTCTTTTCCAAGCGTAAATAACATATGTAACCCATAAAGTAAAAAAACGACATCAATAAAGTACCCCCTCCCTTCCAGATGTTCTGACTATGCTCAAAATCTAATCAGCTCACTGCAAGATGCATTAAAGCTTAAGTTTAAAATTTGGTGTTTTTCTCTTGACCCGTTTATGAGTTATCGAGTATACAGACACACACACACAGTGAAACACATAGACATCATAGCAAAAAGAGTCAGAACGGATTCAGGAGACCCCAAACCCTAAAAATTCGTCGAAAAAAAATTATGACTCCTATACTTTCCTTATCTGTATCGATAGGAAAGTCATTACATGTAAAGTTTTTTAATCAACAACAACTGTTGAAAATGACTACCTCCAGCTAGGATGCAAGAATTCTGTTACTTTTCGCCCTGTATTGAAACAAAGCTGCTTCACAAAAATCATCAAAGATAAATATCATGAGATAAATTTAGAATCAATATCATGTGCCTGGTTATTTGATTCAAATAATGTAAATGAAATTTTTAGTCAACTGGAAAGTAATTGTAGTAGAGTTTTAAACAGTGTTGCACCTATTACAGAGATACAGATAAAGAAAAATCATGTTCCATGGTATGATAAGGAGGTAAAAGTACAAGCCAGAGAGAGGGATAAAGTGTACAAAAAGTTTCAAAGAGCCTTAGGTCCAGATAAAAATGTATTGTGGAATGAATACAAAAATAAACGAAATATAGTTGTTAATTCATTGAAGTGCAAGAAAAAAGAGTTTTATGAACATAAAATAGATGAACATCAAAATGATTCTAAGGAAATGTGGAAAACACTAAAAAAATTAATTAAAAGTAAAAATATGGAAATTAAATTTGACTCTGTTGGGTTTTCTGTTGATGGATCTATATCTTTCGCTAAAACGGAAGAAGAAGCAGCCAACAAATTAATTTTTTTTTTTCGTAAATAGTACCTATATGTGAAATAACAAATTCAATACCTTCAACTGATGATTGGTCACCAAATTTTTTAAATGATATTCAATCAACATTAACTGATTTTAAATTAATTACATTAGATCAACTAAAAAAAGCTGTTTTTCGTTAAAAAATAAGGGAAGCTATGATGAGATATTGAGTGCTAAGTCTTTAAGGGAAACCTTTTATATAACTGGCTTGGCTTTGCAGTGTTAAATTTAATAAAGACCTCACTAGAAACAGGAAAATTTCCTGATAGACTAACAGCAAGCAAGATAGTTCCAGTCAAAAAAATTGCAAAAGATACAAATGCATCCAACTTGCGACCTATAAATATACTTCCGAAGATTGAAAAATTATTAGAAACCGTAGTTCGTAACCAAATATTAGAATACTTTAATAACAATGGTTTGTTTGTGGGAAATCAGTCAGGATTTAGGGAAGGCCATTCATGTGAAACGTCTTTACAGTTAACTTGGAAGCAAGTACTTGATGAAAATAAATATATAATAGCGGGGGTGGGTTGGCTCAGTGGTTAGAGTCATGACTTTGAGATCGGAAGGTCTCAGGTTCGAATCCCACCGTTGGCCGGGATTTTTTCATTTAATTTAATTATTTAAAATTAATTCTGATGCCTTGGTAGGATTCCCCACTCGACCATTCACTGTTGGGTTCTAATTAACAGTGCTGTTCCTAAAGTGGCGCTGGGAAACAGTAACAACGCCTACACAGAACACGAGGCTAATGGCCGTAGTAGTCGACGCCGATGACACCAAAATAAATAAAAAAAAAAAAAAAAAAAAAAAAAAAAATATATATAATAGCAGTTTTTCTAGATTGTAAAATTTTGATTAATAAATTGAAATATTATGGTTTTGCAGGACGAGTCCTGACCTGGTTTGAGCAGTATATGTACAATATGTAAAGCTAGGTAAATCAACATCTGAAATGCTAAAAAATAACTTAGGAGTACCGCAAGGAAGTATATTAGGGTCGCTTCTATTTATCATATATTTAAATGACATTAATTATATTGAGTGTGACTTTATTAATCTATTTGCAGATGATACACTGGTAGCATGTTCCTTGAGGAAATTTTAAATAAACATAACCCAGTTTTTAAAAAAAAATAAACTTAATACAAAAAAAACGAAAGGAATGATTTTGGGAAGTAAATAAAAATTAAATCAAATAAACTATAATAGATACAACATTAGAATTGAAAACGAGAATGTTGAATGGGTTAATGAATTTAAATACTTGGGATTTATTTTAGATGAAAATCTATTATTGAAACCTCACTGCGAATATGTATGCAAAAAAATATCAAAAAAGCTATTTTTCTTCTCAAGGATTGCTTCAAATCTCTCCTTTTTTTCTAGATTAAAAGTGTATAAAACAATTATACAACTTCATTTTGACTACTGCGGATCATTACTTTATAAATTGGATAATAGCTGTTTACAAAGACTACAAAAATTGCAAAATAGAGGAATGAGAATAATCCTTCGATGTAACAGATACACACCAATAAATGGTATGCTGGCCACTTTAAGTTGGATTTCAGTCAGACAAAGATTTTATTATTTAGCAATGACTTTTGTTTATAAAGCAAAAAATAAAAAACTTCCTGAGTACTTCAATGATTTTATCATCTACAATAATGAAATACATAACTACAATACAAGATCTGTTAATAATTTTTATATTCCACAAACAAGACTAGCTATAGCAACAAAATCTATTTTAATATGTGGATTACGTGAATTTAATGCTTTGCCTAGTGAAATTAAAACGAGTACCTCTCTACCTCAGTTTAAAAAATGTTTAATACAATTTATTTCCAGTCTGTAAATTAAATTAACTAAATTAACTTTGTAACTTTGTATATTTACTTTATTATGTATTTATTTTATTTTAACTTTAGTACTAAACATCTTACTTTTATTACTGATTTTATTACTAATTCTATCAAGATTTTATTAAGATTTTATTTTAGTTATTCAACTGAATTTGTGCAGACTGACGATAATATGTAATATTTAAAAAAAACTACTATGTATTAGGACTTCCTATATTAAATAAAGATTCTTCAAATATTCCTAGAATAGTCCAGGGAATACCCACTTGAATTTTTATCATATTTAATAAACACCTTGTATTATTAAAAAATATGTATCCAACTTTCGTTGCATATGGTACGTAAATTTGATACCCTTAAAATTATCAACTATTCATTGCTTACATAGTGATGACATCAAGGACACTGATAATTTTTTATGGTTTGATAAAAATAATTTTTAGTTTAATGGGCTCTAATTAAAAACAGATGGCTGAATTTGTGATTATGAACAAGTATTCATTGTACCTACAAATAGTACATTCTGCAAGGCATTTTATATTCACTTTCAACTGTCATCCAATTAAGGTTACAAAATTTAGTTTATCAGAAGATGTGGATTAAATTCAAGCTAAAGAGAACCTATACTGAGCACAAGTTTAGGACATTTCTGATCAAATTATTATTCCTGTGTATTTATTTTATTGTAGCTTTCAAGGTCCCAACACTTATTGAAATGTAGGAAAATAAAATTATTGTATAATAATATGCTTATGTAATTAATAAATAAATATCCTAGGAATTAAATAAATCAGCTGAAATTCTTGAATAGGGTAAGAGTGTTTTATGAATCTTAAAGGGTCTAATATCTAATGACAGGTTACTATCACCAGAGACATCTCCTGAAGAAGGTATATCTGCATCATTTGTACAACTAAAGAGCCTAGGCTACTTTGCTTTGAAAAACATAAGCCTGGAAATGCTTTAAATCAATTCCCAAGAGAGGCATTATTATATTTCAATTTACACTTTTACAAATCAGTATTAACATCTTATGAATTAACAGTGCATCATCTCATGAGTATTGAAAGAAACAAGTCTCACAAAAAAACAGCCTTTTAAATTAGAAGATGTGGTTTAGACACAATGGAAAATTAAGTCATTGTTTCATGGTATCAACTACAGAAGCACTTATAGTTATCGAATCAATTAGTGTAGGGTAACCAGGGGCCCTGTTTTCCCAAGATTGTCCTATTTTTTAAATCACAGTCACCGTTTAAAATTTACGAATATGTGGTTTTTATACATATCAAAAATAATTTCTAGATATTTTCAAGCATGTGTCCTGGTTTTACCAGTTAAAATCTGGTCAAAATAGCATGTGATATATTTTTGATAAAAACATGAGAAAATAAACTTTGTTGTTATTATTATGCCATTACATTACTGTTTTACTAATAATAATTATCAGTTCTATTAACAGTTTACATGAATCTGTGCCCTTAAAACCATAGTAAACTAATGACAATTTTAATTATGAGCTGATTAAAGTTGAATAAAATATAATTAATATCCGTTTACCATTAATAAATTTCTAAAATCAAAAATAATGGTAGTACACCTAGAACATACCTAGGCTTAAATTCAGTCAATAAATCTTAACCTTGATATTTTAACTACTAGTCAAGTGTTGGCTGAGAATTACATTGAATAATTTACAAACTCAAAAGAATTATTGCACATTAGACTACATAACGTAAATGCGTACTGATTAAGCAAATAGGTATTACACAAGATAAAAAATATTCTTACCTCTTTCTTATAAAAAGGGCCTGAAAAATGTAATTTAGGTTTCATTATAACCTCTACAAAAGCTGTTTTCAGGAAAATGTAATCAATTTGAAACCTACTAGCAAAATAAACATATTTGTTTTCTAGCTATTTCAGTCTTAAAATATTTGAAGTCCATTTTTGATTGGAGGTTAGAATTTATGAAGTTCCAACGATCTGTCAAAATGCTGCAGGTGACGCATGACAGATTAGGTTCTTTCGTTCGTCCCACTGGTGTAGAAATGAACTACACCAACGTACACTAAACCTTTCGTTTGACCCGGTGTAAAACCCACTATACCTTCCTGTGGGCGTTGTGGTGTCCACTGGTGGATATTTTCTCCACCAGCTATTTAGCAGGAGTGAATTACACTCGACATGTGTATAAGGAATAACTTGGAAGTAAACTATGGTAAATAAGGTAGTGTAACTGGTGTAATTTACACTGGTGGTCACTGCACCAACAGCGAACGAAAGAACCTGTTATGATCAATGAACTAGTTCATTGCATGGAGGAAGGATGTTCATTGGTTATGATACATGCATTGCGTTCGGTCTGTCAAGTTCCTGTAACTCCTTTAACACTTTTTACTCCAAGCGACCTTTTATAGGTGAGTTCGGGCTGCGCACTCCAAAGTGGAGTGGAGCAAATAGGCGTAAACGGAGTGCGCATATGGTTTTCTCCTTTTACTCTCAGAGTTCAATGTCAGTTGTCAATGTGACATACTAATACTTAAAACCTAATCGTACTTATCAGTAACAACCGTATAAGTTTCTTCCATATTAATGGTATGTACGGGAATCAAATAAAAAGCATTTTTACTTAAGAATTAGTCACAATTATCTTATTATCGATTTAAATCACCTTATGCGCATGCCCGATCCACACTCGACTCCACGATCTCCGAACGGTCAAAGAGGAACTTTTATTTTAACTCCTTCCGTACCCGAACGCTTTAGGTACTTTAGGAGTGAATATAGTGCCTATAGTGCGTAGACCGAACTCACCATTAGCATTCGGTTTAGTCAAATTAGTGACAGTTTAACACGCTTAAATTAGAGATGGGCAATAAATCGCGAACTGCTAAATATTCACTGCGAATGAAAAATCGCAATCTGCTATATATTATAAAATAAACTGCGAATAGCGCGATCGCGACTACAAACCGTCATTGAGCGAACAACAGAACAGTTCTTTAAACGCATTAACCGAAAAGCGAAAAGTAAAATGTAAACCACCGCGTCCACGTCTTCAATCACGTTTGCTGACTGCTCATTGCTGAGCTATGTCTACTGTGATCGCAACTTCGCGTTTTTCATCGCGTAGTTTATTCAATGGTCGATTGGCAGCGATTTTGACTATAGTATTTGCTATATACACTAATGTTTTATTATATTTTAATTTTCTTATAGAATAATATAACTTATTAAAATATTATACCCAGACTCGACACTCAGCATTAATTTTCAATTTGCGATAACGCTATATGTAATGTGCAAGGCAGCGAAATCATGACGTCATTCGCAGTTTATATTCACAGTGAATTATAAATCGCATTCACAGTAACAACTGCGAATGAATATTCGCGACTAAGCTCATCTCTAGCTTAAATGTCATTTAAAAGCACCCTAAAAAACTCCGCTTTTGTACCGCTCCAGCCCGACTATCCGAACTCGCCTATGGAGGAAGGATATGGCCATAGATTACTTGAATAGATGGGAAACTCAATGGTAAAATTATGAGTCGATGTGCTGCCATCTATCAAATTGGAGTGGTACTAAAATTCAATATGGCCGCCACGAGCGGGCTTTTTGAAATTTAACTTTGTAGTAGCGCAAAAATGTAATAAAGAAAATCAAATAAAGCAAAAAAATTGGAAAAATATTTGACTAGTTTTAAATCATAAAACAACCATATTGACTGTTTTGTGATTTGAAACTAGTCAAATATTTTGCCAATTTTTATCTTTATTTGATTTTACTTCATTATATTTTTGCATTAATTTCAAACTTGAAATAAAATGCAATTTATTTTATTTATTACAGTAAATTAACGCCGCATCATATAATTTGTCTATTTAAACATGGAAATACTCAAACAAATATGCATTTACACCATTTAGGACCGATTCCACCGTTGTGTTAAACGTAGTTTAAAATGACATTTTTACATTAACAATGTCATTTTAATCTCCGTTTAACACAACGGTGGAATCGGCCCTTAAATAATTAAATATTTATAAAACAAACCTATCAAAAATGTTTTCTGTAACAAAATCAGCACATATAAGTGCTCAAGACCTTTATAAAAGTTTTGCAACTTGGAGTGGCAAATAAGTTTGAAAAAATTGAGGTTGAAGCATCCATCATCCTTTTTTACTATCGAAGCAAATTTGAGTGTGGATAAAATTTGCCATACGGTTATTGAGTTGACTAGTTAGGTTGAGGAGCATTTCTTCATCCGATAATTGTTTTCTTGATTCATTTATACAGCACTTGTAGTTATCAAATTTTTATTCATCATGTGGGCAGGGTGATAAATAAATTTAACTTTTGAGCATAAATTAAACTTACACACGTTTGGAACCTTGAAGATTTTAGGGTGTTTTCTTGTTTGATGTCAATGGCATTGAATCAATTTTTGATATTGATGGCTGAGGCTCAAATATTTCATCGATCGACAGGGTATTTTGGAGGGCCAACATTTTCTTTACAAAAATGATCATTTAAAAACTGAAAACAAAAAGAAATTTAAATAACAAACCAATTATTTTAACACTGAATCAAATACAAGTTTGTAAATATTACTTACCGTTGGTACAGTGATGGTGCATTTTTCTTAAGACACTTATTACAATTTGAGCAGGACTCAGACCACAAAGCATGTATCTTCTAGAGACCCCACGCCAATGTTAAACTTTTAAACCAAATTAGCGCCACCTTGTGTTTGGAGCTAGAACTAAAATGACAATTGACAGATGGCGGTAAATTCAAATTGTAATTTTTAGGAGTAGGTAGTAGTTTTAAATTAAATTTTAAATGATTTCCACATAAATTATTTTATAAAATAAAGTATGGAACTAGTAAGTTCGAAACTTTTATTTTACAAAATAATTTAGGTCGATTATACCAAATTTGAAGAATTAATTTGTTATAAGGGGTCTAATGTGGAGAGTTGGTTCTGCATATTTTTATTAAATAAATATAAGATATATCAATAAATAATAAAATAGAACATTCTTAAAATATGTTTATTAATAACTTAAATAAATATTATTAGATAAAAATAAATACAAATAATAAAACATATTTAACGAATACTTACTTGGAGCAAATAGATATATAATCTCAAATCATTAAAATACCTATCAATAATTTAAATGTGAAGTAGAGACTAGGATATTACATTTTATTAACACTAAAGTTATATATTTTATAAATGTCTTTTTAACTGAGGACAAATGTAATATAGGTATTGTATTAAAAGGTGAATCCTTTTAACTATTCATTTAATGATAAATAGGTATTTTCCTTCCAAATACAGATGGTGATACAGATTTCGGAATCTAGTCCAGTGATAAATTGATTATCAATTAGTTGTTGTCCCCGTTTGTCTTTTTATGATGCAGATGCATGGTGAATATATGGTGAATCAATGAAGTTTTTCTCGAAGTTTTCAACGGAGCACCAAAATTATTGCAAAACACAGTAGGAAATAAAAAAGCGAAACATCACAATTTTGCAAATAACTAAGACGAAACTATAAACAGAAACCAAAAGCCAAAGCCAACAAAAAATCACTAAAATCAGACGGAAAAATGAAACTAACCAAGAACATAAATAAATACACGTCACATCTTTGGAGTCTTTGGTTAAGTTTTTCTCCCATAAGGCTTAAAAATGGAGTAAGAAATAATAATTTCACCAGTAGCCCCATCTAGAGTTTGGAGCAAATAGCATAAAAAATGTCAGTTGTCGGTTTTGACCTTGGTCATTCACGTGGAACCTCTATGTGCTTTGTGACTCAGACAGCTCGTTCACGTCGACCGTCCGCGATCGTCCAAAATTTCAAACCTTTCTTTCGACGATGTAGTGTCCACTGGTGGATATTTTTGTTTTTTCTTCTTTATATATAATTTTTTTTTATTTGTAGAATGTAAACGTCTAAAGTATGTAACACTGAATAAAGATGATTATTATTATTATGTGCACACACATAAAATTATTAACCTTCATACTATATAGGTCTGGTGGCCACTGGCTGTTGTTTGTCGTTGGTAAAATATTATTTTGGAAGAGTTTTAATTTAAATATTTTTTTTTATTAACTTAATTACAGTGTACAGTCTAATATTAAAAAGTTTTAAGTTTATGTTCAATAAATATATATAAAATCGATAATATGTAAAAATGCAAACAAAACATATCTTAAAAAGTAAAATTCCTTAAATGTATTCAGCGTTTTGTTCTAGGAGTTCCTTTAACATCTTTTTCGTCGTCTGAATCTTCACTGAAATGTATTTCACTCGTTTCGGAAAACAAGGTATACCTTGGTGGCTTTCTCCATTGAGCACTTGAAGTTCTCTTCAATTTTCTCGGGTCTATGTTTTCGAATATTTCTACCAGATCTACATTGTGATTTGTACAGCAGAATAGTGTATTTTTAATCTTTTCTCCAGCTATTAGCTGAGTGTAAAGTTGTTTGTACATGGCGTTATCTAAAATATATGTAGAATAAATTTTTGTCATTAACGCAATTCAAAAATCATAGTTGTTGGGTCAACTATTCATGAAAAGAATAACTGATATTTTTTGCGTTTTTTCTAAAGCTTATTAGTAATTTTTCAGGAATTTGAATAAACGAAGAAATATAAATTAGTTTCATCACAACAAACTTAAATGGCCATCCAGCCAGTGTTCAATGTGAAATATTAACTGAAATATCTTCTATTAAAAAAAAAAAAAGATAAAAAATATATTATTCTTTCTACTTTTACTTGATGAAAATTCTTATCAAATAAAAGCAAAATCAATGTAGGTATAAAAAAAAAAAACAAAAAAAATAAGATCCTTGTGAACACCGGACGTCACTGATACTTCATTAGAGAGTGAATTTTGAGCGATCACTTGAACCAATTAAGATAATTACCCAAAATATCAATTTCTGCAAGTTTTTTAAGAAGCTATTTATGACAAACAATGTCAAAAGCTTTTGACCAGTCTGTATAGATGCGTCAACCTACTGACCAGATAGTAAGTACTCTTGATACACACCAAGATTTGTTGAAGTTGATCATCCTTTATAGAACCCACGTTGACATGGAGACATATAACTTTTATATGTGGCAAATACCTCGTCAGTCAGGATGGATTCAAATAATTTAGGAATTGTAAAGATTATAGAAATGCCTGGATAATTTTTTATGTCAGTTTTGTCTCCCTTCTAGATTAGAGAATTTTTAAACAGTAGGAAATTTTTCGCTATCGAACGACTTTGCTTCCAATTTTGCTTTTTTGAGCCTCAAATAAATGCAGCATTTTTAAAAATTATTTGATAATTTTTAAGAGCTGTCAAATTTTAATGCGAAGAACGGCTAAGATGCAATGTTTAAATGACACCATTAAATTTTTACATTCACGTTTCGGTTTCGTCAACTGTACGTCTTTTGTGACTTGCTACAAACCATGGTGTACTATGTATATATGTAATTTGCTTTACTTTATACACTTTCATGTGCAAAAACTATTTGTAGGTATCAGCACCACTATAAACACCCTATTAGATTTGACCGTGAAGTCGCATTGATAATTTTCTCCGTGAATGGCCTTGATCAGACCAGAAAACTGTCTTTACCCTCAAATTGGTGGTTAAGATTTTTGGGTTGCTGGAAAATAAGCGTCTCTAGTGAAAACAAATTTAAGTAAACGTTCTCATTGTGAGAGAGATGGTCACTTTCTTATCTATTTTGTTTTTGTTTGTTAATTATATCTATTTAAAAAGGAATACAAGACAAGAAAAACAATTAGTACTGTACCTCGGCTCCAATTTGGTTTTGTATAGTTTTTTCTGTGGAACTCGTACTCATCATCATCCGAGTCATAACAGTCTTCGGTAGGAAGCAAATTAGCTTTGGTTGTCATATAAATTGGCAAACCGTTATCTTGTTTTTGAGCAGCTAGTCTACAAAAAATATTAATTTATTAATTTAAACATTAATTCGAATACATAGGTAGGATTCCCTACTAAACCATTCACTGTTTGGTTCTAATTAACAGTACTGTTCCTAAAGTGGCGCTGGAAAACAGTAACAAAGCCTACACCGAACATGATGCTAATAACCTTAGTAGTTGAAACCGATGACACAAATTAAAAAATAACATTTAAAATATAAAATTAATTATTTGAAAAATATACTGATTAATAATCTATATATAATAAACATTTTATTTTTTAGCACAGCACAGACCAATAATAATTACTGTGCAAATAAATAATTACAAATTAAAAATAAACAAAGAAAGTTTACATTACAGAAATTAAATAAAATTACCTCTCCTTCTCTCTTAAAATTTTAGCTTTATTTTTAGCCAATAATCTCTTCTTTTCAACTTCTTCTTTAGTCTTCTGTATCTTTTCTTCCTTTTCTGTGACTGTCTGTTTGTGTTTCTCATCTTTCAGTCTCTGTAATTCCAAATTCTTTTCTCTTTCCTTTTCTAAAAGCTCTCGCTGTTGTTGGGCCTTTAAAAATATATAATTTAAATTACGTCCTCTAATTGATAGGACGCTTCAATAAAAAATATTAATTTTAAAGTAATTTAAGGTCGCCGTATCACTCCATTTTAAGTCGTCAAAAATGTATAGTCTGTTTCGGATTAACAAAATTATGCAAATTAGTCATTGACAACCAGTTCCGATAAGCCTCTTCTCAAGAAATTAAGTAAAATTGTCCTAATGGTCAGATTTAAATTAAAATAACATTAGGGTAGGTACTAAATTTGTTACAAATATTGCAGTATGTTGAATTGATTCTTTGCAAGTGTTAACATTGTATGTATATTGTAAATTTAGTAGAAATTTTAAAAATGCCTAGATGTGTGTTGGATGTAGATAGTCTAATTTGTAGTGTACATAAGTATTTTACGGATGAAAAAGAAAATGGCGGTCCTTTAAAATCGACAATGTCTGTACAACAACGCGTATGCGATGCTCTAGGAATTAGTGAAACCAAATTAAGAGGAGTATTACAAAATCGCAATAGTGAACTGCCAAAAGAAGATCACCGCAAAACTCGCCCATCATTGAAAACGAAAGATATTCCAGATGGAAAGAAATTTGAAATTCGTGATACCATTTATCGAATGAGGGCCAACAAGGAACATGTGACCTTAAATACAATTCTCTCGGAATTAATTGATAGAAAATTTGACGACATTGGCAGAATAAGTATGGCAAGTGATACATAACTTGGGTTTCAAATTTCAAAAGGAGGATAACAGAAAGGCCCTTTGTAAAAGAAGTTCTGTCGTGCACAAGAGAATTAACTTTCTAAGAAAATATTCTAAATTTAAAGAAGCGGCGAATTTTATATATTTAGACGAAACATGGATATTTTCTAGGGGTGCGACCAAGAGAATATGGCAAGATGATAACGTAAAGTCCATCAAACATACCGATGGAGAAGGGAAGCGACACATAATTTTACATGCAGGAGGCAAATCAGGTTTTATAGAAGGTGCTGATTTAATATTTTCATCTAAATCAAAATCCAGTGACTATCACGATATTTGATTTATTTGATTGAAGTATTGCCTGGTGTTCCTCAAGGATCCCATTGTGGTCCGCTTCTTTTTAATCTATTTGTAAATGACATTGCATGTTGTATAAAAAAGTCTCAGTTCCTACTATTTGCAGATTATTTAAAAATCTTTAAAATTGTTGAAAGTATATCTGATTGTTTTGATTTAGACTGATATTTACAACCTAGCATTGTGGTGTAATGTAAATTGTATGAATTTGAATTTAAGTAAATGTTTTTATATTAAGTTTAATAGGTGCCATACTAATATAGACTATACTTATTGTATCAATTCATTAGATCTTGAATTGGTGACCCAAATAAAGGACCTTGGCGTAATGTTTGATGAAAAACTTACTTTTTCAGAACACATTACAATGATATCATTAAAAGCCAGAAAGTTGTTGGGTTATATACAAAGAATCTCTAATGGTCTCTCAATAAATTCTTTTAAAATTCTTTACTGCACTCTTGTTCGTTCTAATATGGAATATGCAGATGTTGTTTGGAACCCTTATTATTATAGATTCACATTAATAGACTTGAAACGGTTCAACATAAGTTTCTGAGATGCTCAGCATATAAATTAGGAGTGCGTATAAATAATTACGATTATGATTATGCTAACCTATGTTCCAGATTAGAAATCACAACTTTGCAGAACCGGAGAACTCAATTAGATCTATGCTTCCTATTCAAACTTTTGTCTGGGTCAATATATTCTCCTATTTTATTAAAAATTGGTCTTAAAATTAATAGTGCAACCAGAGCTAATGAAACTTTTTTTATTAGACACCATAGACAAAATTACGGCTTTTATAGTCCATCAACACGATTGGTTAAGAGTGCTAATAGTATAGAAATAGACTTGGATTTTTTTGGTTCCTCATATCCTTCATTTAAAAGAAGTATTGCTAACCACTTTCTTAATGACACTTGAACGTACTGTTATTGTCTGCCTTGTTAATCAAATGTTTTAATCATATGTTTTACATGATACAATTTTTGATGTTGTTTTTTATTTTGTATTTGTGCATATAACATATATTTTGGTTGCATGAAAAACTTCTCCCAGGTTTAAGTGAGCCCAGCGTAATTATTTTAGACAATGCACCTTACCATTCTGAAGTATTAAACAAAAGTTCAACGAATTCTTGGACTGTTGATAAAATTAAAGAATGGTTGACAAAGGAACATATACCATTTCCTCAATATATATTAAAATCAGAATTATTACGCTTGGCAAATATACACGCAAAACCAAAAACCTTTGTTGTGGATCAGATTATTGAAAGTTACGGTCATCAAGTTTTACGTCTGCCACCGTATCATTGCCAGTTTAATCCCATCGAATATATATGGGGAATAGCAAAACAATATGACAACCATATTGGACCTAATGGTTATAGTGACGACACAGTTCGGGAAACTTGGCGAAAAGCACTTTCAATTGCAACTCCAGAAGTGTGGCGGAACTGTATATCCAAGTGCGAGAAACTAATAGAAGATTGGTGGACTCGTGAAAATAAAATAAACGAAATAAGTCCAATCATAATAACAATTAATGGTGATGACAGTGATGATGATGATGACGATTTATGATATTTTGGATGATAACTGATTTTCATTTTTGTTGGCAAGTTAAATTTTTTTATTTTTCATTTGAAATTCTCTACATGGTACAAATTTTTATGTTAGAAAATATTTTATTTGAGCTAAATAACATTCTTATTATACATAGACCATATTTTCTGTGTGAAGTGTAATATAAAATTATTATTATTAGGTTTATAATAGCCACATTAGACTCTATTAATGAAGAAGTTTAATTCTGCTCTCAATTATACAAAAGATTCTCCATTATTATTTAATTAAAAAGTTGTACATTATTTTTTATTTCATTTAACCAGTTGATATTTCCCCAAAGAACAGGTCAAACTTTCAGGTACTTACCTGGAAATACTCATAAAAATTTTAATCCGAATCCCGCGTAAGTATAGCGAACAGACTGTAGTTATTCTTAAAGAATAAAAATGGGGTGATAAGGGGGGTTGAAATAGAATTAAAATCTTCAGGAAAATCAAGCTTTATAAGGGGATGAAACCTATTATGAAAAAAATCTGATTAAAATGGGAGTTAAGGGGATCTCTTCAATTGTGAGGGTATAATATGGAATGCCAAGCATTATATATTTTCATTCTAGTTTAGTTCTTGTTATAACCACTGGTTACAATGGTAGCGTGCAGTGGCGACCTTAAGCCCTTTACACTTATTTTCATAGGTAGTAATTATTTATAAATTACCTTTAATTGTTTCTCTTCCCTTTTTCTTTTAATTTCTTCAGCTTGTGCTTGAAGTAATGCATCTTTCTTGAGTTGTCCTTCAGCTTCTTTCTCCTGTCGGCGTTTTTCTCTTTCTCTTAACTCAGCTTGGGAGGCTTTCAGAGCACTTAAACACCTCATAGATGTACCGCTGTCATTATACAGAGACGATTTTTTTTGTGATCTAGGATGATTTTTGTTAACATCAACTGTGCTACAAGTTTTTGGTATGAATTTATTAGAAAATGGTGTGTACGGTTTGGATTTTAGAGCTGATCCTGGATCACCACTGGTACCATGTTCTTTGAGAAGTGGTATCTTGGAGGGGTTAGCACTGTTCAGAATTTTTTTGTTTAAAAGCCACAGTTAAAAATAAAATTAAAAAAAAAATTAACTGATGTTGTTCCCTTTATGAACAATATATTATCTGTAAATTAGTATCAGAAGGTCCATTTTTACAAAATAAATGAATTAAGACTAATGAAATTGCTGTTAATCATTACATCGTTTTATTTAAGATTGGTAGACCACAGTTTTAAATACCAAGATTATAACCAGACGAAAACGTACCAATCAGAAACTTCGTCAACATTTTGGAAAAACACTCGGACCCGTCAATTTTTGAACACTCCCTTCCCCTCCGTCACTCTAATCAACAGAGTTTAAACAAGGAAAGCACATATCTGACATTTTGATACTAAAGTACAGATATTTTCATTAACGTTTGTTATAAAAATACAGCAAATGTTTTAATCCAAATTTTATACAATACTTACGATTCTTTAGAAGCACTGCCAAATTTTTCAAAAGCTTCAACCTTCTTTTTTAATGATTTATTTTCATATGGACTAAAGATTTCTTTAATTTGCTGTTTTTTTGATTTAGTTTTAGGAGGAGTTTTCCAATCTGGCTTCTTTGCTTCTGGTTCGCCTTGCACTTTTGTAGTTTTATTTTTTTTAGGGTTTTCAACAACCATGGTAGAATTAATAACCATGGTGGCATTTTGAATATCGATATTTTCAATATCAGCGGGGCATAAGTTAGATACAGCATCTTCATAATCAGTTTGGCCAGTTTCATTCACTTCTTGATCATGTGAAGAAGTTGATTTTGATTTTTTTACATTCTGTGGATGATTTTAAGTTTTTTAATTATTGTATTGTTTCTAATTAAATAACATTCAGAATAATTTTACATCATAAATATTTAATCGACTATTTTACGAGAGAATAATTAATAAATACAAAAAATATGAAATACATAGAAATGGTTTAAACTAAATAATTAATATTATGTATTAATGATAAATAATAAAACAGTATCTAATAACTAACAATTCTGAAGAAAATGAATTTATTTTAATAATTTCATTATCACTAATTTAGTATATTAAAATCTAGAAACTTTAAAGCAATTGGCAACAACGTTGAACACATAGTTAAAATGTTAGATAGAACAAAAACATTATCTTCAATAAACAACAACTAAAAAAGTGTATTTGACATGTACATTCCTTATTATTAGAAAATAGGAAAACTTTTTTACTTACCTCTACAACATCTTCACTACTAGACTTAGATCTTATTCTTTTGCTCTGTTTTGTTTCAATTTTTGATTCAACTTCTTTCTTGGGTTGCTCTACTTCCAGATGTTTTTTTTGTCTCGTTTTTGTGCGCGTCGTTCTAGTTGATTGTTGGTCATCTTTAGTTTTTCTCTCAGTGTCAGGATCTTTATCTTCAGACAAGTCAATCATTGTGACTGTGGTATTTTGGACAATTACATCAGAAGGTTTGCCCCTGCTCGACTGAAGAAATTCAAGATTATTGAGTACAATATTATGTTTGCAACAATAAAATAATACAAAAATGAGTCTAGTTGTATTCGCTCCGTGCGTGACAGCAGCGCCAACAAAAGTACGAACTAAATGGTGATATTTGCGTGTATTGATAGTATCATTTTTAATAGAATTCGTAATTAAAAATATGTTTTTTTGTTTTAATAAAATTATATAGATTTATAAAAAGTGAAAATATTTATTATTATTTATTACTTCGGTTAAAAAAAAAGTATATTCAATAAAAAAATAATTAAAATAGGTGTAAAAGTAAATTGTATAGGTATATTTTCGAATATAATTTAAACTTTTCTTTATTTTTAGTTTAAAAGAAACCATGGAATTAATTATTAAAACTGGTTTCCAATCAATCAGTCACAAAATTGCATTCTAGATAGAGACAATAATCAAAGGCAGAAATCTACCCTTTCTGAACATGTACCTAGGGGATTTTAAAAAACATCGTAAAATAATAATTAATTGTTTTTAAAACCTTTCAATTTTCAGACGGCTATTTTCAATATTACTGTTGTTACAAAAATAAAGATTTGGTAGTAGGTAATTACTTTTAATTTTTTACTGCTGTTAACCCTTTATTTTTTTTTTAATTTCCATTTTGCTACTGAAAATTTATCAAATTTACACTGTTTTTTGCTAGTATTTCTACAATTTACAACACGGCTCAATTTGTTGTTTACTATTTTTTGTTTAAGTGAAATGTACACATGTATTAAAAAAATATGGCCCTAAAGTGCTCGAAATGTCCGCAGCTTACGCTAGTATCGTTTTTGCTTCCCCTACCATGACTTCGCACTGAGCAAATAGGGATATTACTTCGAACGAGCCAGCAGAGCACCCCGGTTTTTCAAAGCTTTTTTTCTAAAAACAATAACACCACACTTTTAGGCTATTTTTAGGCTCCTGAAATAATATAAAACTTTTATAAAAAAATGCTATTTTTAAATAATGAAACAATGAACAGTCAGAAGAGCTGCTCTTTTTTATTCCAAAAATACCCACATCATATTTTTTGGGCTATTTTTAGGCATTTGAAATATTATAAAACTTGGGGAAAAATGGTACTTTCGTTTGAAGCCAGCAGAGTATCTCTGTTTTTAAAGCTTTTTTTTTAAACCACACCACATTTTTAGACTATTTTTAGGCTCTCAAAATATAAAACTTTTCTAAAAAAATTGCTATTTTTAAATATTACAAACAAACCTTTGCTGGAACAACGTTAAAAGAGTACCTTTGAAGAATTATAACCATTTTCGAAAAAATTGCTATTTTTAAAAAATACATTTTTAGAGTCTTGAAATATAAAAAAAAACTATTTTTAAATAATAAAGGATGCTTCATTATAACAAAGTCCTCTTTTTTTTAATAACTACTTATGTCATGTTTAGGCTCTTGATATATTTATTATAAAGTTGAAATTGATATATTTATTATAAAGTTGAAATTGATATATTTAAAAATACAGAGTAATCTGCTAACTTCGAATAAGGCCAGCAGAGCACCATGGTTTTTAAAAACAACCACACCGCATTTTTAGGCTCTTAAAACATAAAACTTTAAGAAAAAACTGCTATTTAAAAAAAAAATGCTTTGCTAACTTCGAACGAAGCCAGAAGAACACCTAAGATTTTTAAGGTTTTTTTTTTTTTTTCTAAAAACAACTATGTCTAATTTTAGACTATTTTATATTAAATATTCCGAAAAAAATTTGCTTCTTCGAAAGTTTTTTTTACACATTTTTAGATTCTTGTAATATTATAAAACATTTCGAAAAATTTTGTTATTTTTTTAAAAATATTGGGTGCTTTGCTGGCATCGAACGAACCAGCAGAGTACCTCGTTTTTTAGGTTTTCTGAAAAAACAACTATGCCACATTTTTATACTATTTTTTAGGTCCTTGAAATATAAAATATTCCGAAAAAATTTGTTTTCTAAAAAACAAATATATCACATTTTAAGGCTAATTTTAGACTCTTGAAAGATAAAATAATCCGAATTTTTTGCTTGATTAAAAAAAACAAGGAGCATCAAATTTTTGAATAGGGTTTTAAAATAGCGTAAATATATTGCAAGGGTTTTAACTCAAAATTCCCTAGGTGCTTTGTCGCCTTCTTTGGCATTAATGTTTATTTTGAATTCCACAAAATATAATGGACTCTTGGACATTTATTGCCTAATTTAATGAAGTATGGAAACTATGAACTCAGTAATCCTGAAGAAATTGCAAACACCTTCGCATCTCATTTCCAAACATGCTACTCCAAAGATGACAAATTAATTTTCGTCCTGTGCCATTTTATCCCACTTAAGCCACACACATTTTCACTCCTCTTCCAAAATAAAAAGTCTTTGACTCTTATCAAAATCGTGGGTCCTGATGTGGTAACAAGATTGGACCAGTCAAATGAAGCTGTGGGAAAAAATTTCACAACCTCTTAAGAAGGAATATTTTAGTTAAGATTTTAATGGGATGTATCCTCTTGAACTAAAGTATTTATTTATGAGGCTATTTAATTTGAAGAAATCGTTTTTAAAAATATATATTAAATATTAAAATTACCTTTTCTGGACTTTCATAATATTGTTTAGGCTTTGTTCTTGTTCTTGTTGATCTTGTTGTTGTTTCAAGAGGTTCAGCTTTGATCTTCTTTTTTCTAGGAGGTACTTTTGATGGAGCCGGCATGTCACTGATTGCATCTTTTACAATACCATTTTCTGTAAAAAAAACTCGTCTTTAATCAGTAAAACTTATATTAATGTAAATATAATTAATAAAACCTTGAATATTTTTTTGGTTTATATATAAAAATATAATGGAAAACATATGATAATATATTTCTCATCTAATCATTCTAATGTAATGTAACCAGACTTACTTATCACTGAAGTTTCAGAATGAATACTAGATGCAATCGAGGACGACGAATCAGCGGAAATGTTAGATATCTTTTCTTTTTTAATTACAATTTGAGCAGTAGTATAAGTAGTATCAGCTAGAGATGCAGTTTTTTTCTGGGTCGTTTTTTTCTGTGGCAAAACAGAGGTATTTGGCTCCACATTTTCCTTCAATGCTTCTAACTTTTTAGCTAAAATAATGTAAAATTAATGATTTTACCAATTTTGAAATAATTTAAATAATAAAATTTTGTTTAATTAATAAAAAATGTTTACCGGAAAGTAAAACTCACCTTTTAACTTTTCAGTCTCCTTTACCAAATATGAGTTATCATTTGTTTCCAAGTATTTTATATAATTGTATAAGTTATTATTTATAAGCTGAAAATATACAAAAATGATTATAAGACATAGTGTATAAAAGGTAAGATCTTAGTATATGGATGTATTTCCCCATAAATATTATTATTATTTCCCCATAAATATGAAAATCTACGTCTCGCCTGGCAAACTTCCCATAGTCGCCCGAAAAACTTTGTGAATACATTTTAAAAATAATTAAAAAAAAGTTGGGGAAAGCACCTTTTACCAGTTTTTGGATTCCCTGGACAAATTGCCAGACACTGTTAAACTTTTTTTCGGACAGGTAACCGATTCGATCACCTTATATAACTTTTTTTTGTACAGCACAGAATTAAAAAAAAAAAACATTTTGGGATAAAGTTGAAACCTATTGCTAAAGCCATCACCATTTGTGAATGAGATAAAACTAGAATTTCTTTACTTCTTAATATTCAATGACCTTGAACATTTTGCTAAAGGTTTGCCATGCTGACCTCCCCTGAGACCAGATGAAGAAAGCTACACAAATTATCATAGATAGAAAAGAATTTTCAATCCATAAAGTACATAAAATTTGCAATTTGCTGGATCCTTCCATTAGGGACTCAGATCTTAGTCACAGTATGGAGTGAGGGGCACTGTATTAGATCTTTTCAAAAACTATTTGTTAAATAGAAAACAAATAGTGAGAATAAAAAATATCTTAAGCGAACCGGAAATCGTTCAAATGGGAGTGCCCCAGGGAACGGTTCTTGGTCCAATTTTATTTATCATCTATATCAATACTATGTTAAAATTACAAATAAATGGTGCAATAGTCTCATATGCAGATGATACTGTCATTGTATTCGAGGATAGTAGCTGGGAAGCAGTCAAAGAAAAAGCCAAAACAAGTATAAGTACTATTAAAAACTGGCTTGATTTTCATACTCTCTTTAAATGTCTCTATAACCTCCTTTCTAGCATTCACGTTAACTAACGTTACCAGGCCTTCTTTCGACATAAAAATAAGTGAAAACTTTGTAACAAAATACCTCGGTATAATAAATGACCAAAATTTGAAATGGAGTAAGCACATTCAATCATTAACAACCAAGGTTAGATTTATTTTTAAATTTTATGAGTTAAGGAAATTTATAACTAGGAGTCTACTAATTACAATTCGTTGGTTGAATCTATTTTCTGATATGGTTTAATAATATGGGGTGGTTTATATGATATAGCACTTCAACCTCTTAATGTAATCCAAAATCGTATCGTCAAAATTATTTTCAAAAAATCGACATTATATCCTACCTCTCTCTTATATAACAAACAAGTGCTTAATACAAGAACATTATATTATCATTGTTGTTGTACTTTTATTTATAGAAAGCTTGAACTGAGACATACTGCAAAGCACTTGCACAACACAAGATCCAGATTAAATGAGAATCTGAGAACTCCAGCAGTTCAGCGAGATGCAAGTCAAAGATTTGTAACTTATGTTGCTCCCAAAATCTTTAACACCTTACCTGTCAATGTGAGGAACATAAAAAATTTAAAATTATTTCAGAAGAAATCAAAACAGTATATCACTTCTAATATTGGTGCATATAGAGATGTACTCTAGATAATTTTGTATTCTTATTACTAATATTTTAAAACTAGGTATATATGTATGTATACTATAAGTATAAATTTGTATATTACTATGCTATTACTTTACTTTAGCACATACAGGTGCTTGCACCTAGGTGCTTTAACTTTAATTATAATTTGATTATTAAGTTAATTTAATTTTTAATTAAATAAATATTTGTATCAAATATTTGAAGAACAAGTAAGCACTTCGTGTATTACTATTTGTTTTTTTAATAACAAAAAGTTTTCATTTTGGTAGTTTAGCAATTAACGTAAATTTTCATTTTAACTTGTTTTAACACACAAAATAACTTATTATAAATTTAATAAATTACAAATGAAACTATGTATCTACATTAGATCTAAAAAGGGCACGGTGGACAAGGACAAATGTCCAACTCCTTTCAAATCTAATCTTCAATCTAATGTATCTTTGTTTTAAAGTCTAGTCTAGTTTAAAAACATTGTGTTTTTAACATTTCAGACTGAAGCAGATTTATGACACGGCCAAAAAAGTATCAGATGTGAATGAAAAGCTGGTGTTAACAGATCTCGCAAATTTTCAGGCAAAAGAGAAGTTTTTTACTAAGCAGTTCATTGTGGAAAACTTCATCAGAGGTCTCACCAGCTTCGTGGTGGACCAGTTTTTGTGAAAGCACAAAGCTCTCAAAAGTTGCTGTAAATTTTGTTCAGCTACCAGGAACATCAGAGTCATGCCAAAGAAGCTTTAGTACTTATGGTGGATTGCATTCATTTAAAGTCTAAACCAGTAGTTCCCAACGGGGGTGGTACCACCTACTGGTATGCTATGAAACGGGTGTGAAGTTATCCACATCCACAAATGTACACTGAGAAAAATATAACTCTATCGTAATAGTCATATAACTTGGTTCAAATTACCTGTAGAGGCTTTTCATTTGTAGATTTCAATTGGGGAGGTTTCAATACACAGTAACCATACCCGCAACTAACTTTTACTTTGTCTCAGGGGGTGCAATAGGGGTGAAATTTAAAAAAAATCATAGAAGCCACAAATGGCTTTGTACACCTTTCTGCTTGGGATATGTTATGTAGTTTACTCTTTTCTTCATCCCTGATACCATGCTGGAGTTTGTCGAGCCGTCTGAGGGGGTGCAATGGGGGTTGAAATTAAAAAAAAAAACATAAAAGCCACAAATAGCTTTGTACACCTTTCTGCTTGGGATATGTTATGTAGTTTGCTCTTTTCTTCATCCCTGATAGCATGCTGGAGTTTGTCGAGCCGTCTGAGGGGGTGCAATTGGGGGTGAAATTAAACAAAAAATCATAGAAGCCACAACTGGCTTTGTACACCTTTCTGCTTGCGATATGTTATGTAATTTGCTCTTTTCTTTCTCCCAGATACCATGCTGGAGTTTGTCGAGCCGTCTGAGGGGGTGCAATTGGGGGTGAAATTAAACAAAAAATCACAGAAACCACAAATAGCTTTGTACACCTTTCTGCTTGGAATATGTTATGTAGTTTACTCTTTTCTTCATCCCTGATAGCATGCTGGAGTTTGTCGAGCTCTCTAAGGGGTGCAATTGGGGGTGAAATAAAAAAAATCATAGAAGTCACAAATGGCTTTGTACACCTTTCTGCATGCGATATGTTATGTAGTTTGCTCTTTTCTTCATATAAGATACCATGCTGGAGTTTGTCGAGTCGTTTGAGGGAGTGCAATTGGGGATGAAATTTAAAAAAAATCATAGACGCCACAAATGGCTTTGTACACCTTTCTGCTTGGGATATGATATGTAGTTTACTCTTTTCTTCATCCCTGATAGCATGCTGGAGTTTGTCGAGCCGTCTGAGGGGGTGAAATTGGGGATGAAATTAAACAAAAAATCACAGAAGCCACAAATGGCTTTGTACACCTTTTTACTTGAGATATGTTATGAAGATAGCTATTTTCTTTATGCCTGATACCATGCCGGAGTTTGTCGAGCCTTCTGAGGGGGTGCAATTGGGGGTGAAATTAAACAAAAAATCATAGAAGACGCAAATGGGTTTGTACACATTTCTGCTTGGGATATGTTATGTAGTTTGCCCTTTTCTTCATCCCTGATAACATGCTGGAGTTTGTCGAGCCGTCTGAGGGGGTGCAATTGGGGATGAAATTGTTTTATTGGGGAGAGCCTTCCATACCGCGTGCCCTTAAGGCACGCCACTGTCGATACTTATATATTTAACCCTCTCTTTTTCCAATGCTAAAAAGGTAAGGTTTACCAGTCTTGGATGTAACATATGGACCTCTGCTGACAATTCTTAATTGTCTTTAAAAGCAGTTTTTTTTCTTTAACATACACTGGAAAATATCGGGATTATCTGCAGCATTCTGTCAATAAATAAATTATTTTCTTACAAGAAAATATAAGTGACTAAGAACAATTGCTAAAAATATCGATATAACGGTTCTACTATAAAATTTTTATATTAAGTACTCATTTTCCCAATTCACTACATTTTTCAAAAAATTTCATTATAATTTTAAAATCGTCTGACTAATTGTTAAATATTTGCATTTTTGATCAATAACGGCCCATTTATCGCGTTTCTATATTATAGCAATTTTCTAGGGGGGGGGGGGCGCTCAGATTAGCTTTAGGAGGGACTCAGTTCCCCCTAGCACTCCCCTGGCTACGGGCCAGCATTTGTTGCTTCTATGATATTTTGTTTATTTTTACCCACAATTGCACCCCCTCAGAAGGCTCGACAAACTCCAGCATGGTATCTGGGATGCAGAACAGAGCAAAGTACTTAACATATCCCAAGTAGAAAGGTGTACAAAGCATTTTTTGGTTTTTATAATTTTTTCTATTTCACCCCCAATTGCACCCCTTCAGACGACTTGATAAACTCCAGTATGGTATCAGGGATAAAGAAAAGAGTAAACTACATAACATATCCCAAGCCAAAAGGTGCACAAAGCCATTTGTAACTTCTATGTTTTTTTAATTTCATCCCCAATTTCACCCCTCAGACGGCTTGACAAACTCAAGCATGGTATCTGGGATGAAGAAAAGAGGCAACTAGATAACATATCCCAAGCAGAAAGGTGAACAAAGCTATTTGTGGCTTCTATGATTTTTTTGTTTAATTTCCCCCAATTGCACCCCCTCAGACGGCTCGACAAACTCCAGCATGGTATCAGGCATAAAGAAAATAGCTATCTTCATAACATATATCAAGTAAAAAGGTGTACAAAGCCAGTTGTGGCTTCTATGATTTTTTGTTTAATTTCACCCCCAATTGCATCCCCTCAGACGGCTCGACACTCCAGCATGGTATCAGGCATAAAGAAAATAGCTATCTTCATAACATATCTCAAGTAAAAAGGTGTACAAAGCCATTTGTGGCTTCTGTGATTTTTTTTTTAATTTCATCTTCAATTGCACCCCCTCAGACGGCTCGACAAACTCCAGCATGGTATCTGGAACGAAGAAAGGGGCAAACTACATATCATAGCGCATGCAGAAAGGTGTACAAAGCCATTTGTGGCTTCTTTAATTTTTTTATTTCACCCCCAATTGCACCCCCTCAGACGGCTCGACAAACTCCAACACGGTATCTGGGATGAAGAAAAGAGCCAACTAGATAACATATCGCAAGCAGAAATGTGTACAAAGCTATTTGTGGCTTCTGTGATTTTTTTTAATTTCATCCCCAATTGCACCCCCTCAGACGGCTCGACAAACTCCAGCATGGTATCAGGCATAAAGAAAATAGCTATCTTCATAACATATCTCAAGTAAAAAGGTGTACAAAGCCATTTGTGGCTTCTGTGATTTTTTTTTTAAATTTCATCCCCAATTGCACCCCCTCAGACGGCTCGACAAACTCCAGCATGGTATTAGGCATAAAGAAAATAGCTATCTTCATAACATATCTCAAGTAAAAAGGTGTACAAAGCCATTTGTGGCTTCTGTGATTTTTTTTTAATTTCATCCCCAATTGCACCCCCTCAGACGGCTCGACAAACTCCAGCATGGTATCTGGGAGAAAGAAAAGAGCAAATTACATAACATATCGCAAGCAGAAAGGTGTACAAATCCATTTGTGGCGTCTATGATTTTTTTTAAATTTCATCCCCAATTGCACCCCCTCAGACGGCTCGACAAACTCCAGCATGGTATCAGGGATGAAGAAAAGAGTAAACTACATAACATATCCCAAGCAGAAAGGTGTACAAAGCCATTTGAGGCTTCTATGATTTTTTTTTAAATTTCACCCCAATTGCAACTCCTGAGACAAAGCAAAAGTTAATTGCGGGTATGGTTGTTGTGTATTGAAACCTCCCCAATTGAAATCTACAAATGAAAAGCCTCTACAGGTAATTTGAACCAAGTTATATGACTATTACGATAGAGTTATATTTTTCTCAGTGTACATTTGTGGATGTGGATAACTTCACACCAGTTGCTATGAAGAGAGCTAGGGAGCTATTTTTGATCCAAGTCAAATTTAGAATAACTGTCTTCCCCTGGAAAATACTCAAAAATATTTGATGGAGTTTTTTTTTTTGAAATGTAGGCAGTATGTAAAAAAATAAATTATTAAACCAAATAGCAGCCAAAATAGTTTATATTGTCCATACCTTACAAATAAAATCTAAAACTGTAAAGATAGACATATGCACAGATACTATTAATAATAATAATAATAATGTTTATTTATCTATAATGTAGTACAAATATTGTTTTCAAATAAATTTTTTAAATATAATACAATTAAATTTTTTATTTTTGAATATAATACAATAAATAGTTTAATAATTCTAGATATAAAATATTAAATAAATAAACAAACAAACAAACAAACAAAAATACACTACCCACGAAGTGAACTTGTGGGGATAAATATTCTGTTATTATTTAAACAAATTTGTTAAGTAACATTTTATCATATATAGGTAACTTACAAAACAACTGTTGTCATATAAGTACCAAAATTAAAGAGTATCACTACAATTATTTAATTATTTTATGATTTCAAAATTTAATGGTTTTCGGAAACGCACAAAACAGATAATTAAAAAAAGGTAAGAATTAAATCACAAATATTTTTTTCCAATCCATAAATATTTACAAAAAATATCAAAAGGAATTAGATTGAATCAACACTAATGCTTTATTTAGAAATTGTATACATATTTTGAATATCATTTTCTGATAGTTGGTGAAACCAAATTTTTAATTTTTTTTATAGTAAAAATAATTTAAAACTTTAATAAAATGAGGAATTTTTGAGAAAATACGTGGTGCAATAAAGTAAAATGCTTTTTGACCAGTTGATTTTGTGGCTCTTGTGGTTTCAAATTCTGACTTTTTTTTTGTGCCTTGTATTATGAATGTGGGAGATTGATTTTAAATGTTGCTTATTCTTTTGTTGATACTGTAGGGTACTTTTGAAAATTTTACTGAACATGACATTGATATGTTGGAAAACCCAGAAGAATGTTATGATTATAGTGATTTTGAATAGTAGGTAGTGTAGGTACCTCCTTTGATATGTGAGGTTTTAAGGCTGCCTATTTGTTTTCTTATAATAATAAATAAACTTGTTTTTGTGTTTGTATTTAAATATCTCTATTATAAAGATTATTTTAAAAGTTGCATTGGTTTATTTTTGTTACCTTATCAATTTTTGAAGTTGCTGCATCAATTCTCTTTAGATACTCTTCATTTTTTTCCTTTAACTGATTTTTTAATGCAGACATTATTATGAATAACTTAATTAACGTAAAAGCACAACACTGAAATGAAATAATCACCAGAAATCACTCAGATTTTTCCATAGATCAAATTATCGATGGATTTTCAAATTCAAATAGCGTCCGTCGTATATCAAAAGATGAAAAAGACGGTTGTGAAAGGTAAACTGTCACTATTCAAATTAAAATGTCAGTGTCAAGTAGTTTTTAGGCATTTTTTAAAAATGCGTATTAGGAATTCGAACGACCTGTCAGAGATAACTACGGGGAAGGGCTCGTAAATTTAAGGGGGTTGCGACATAGTCTCCAGCTCTTCGAGCATATTGCTCGACCATTTATCTACTCTCCTTTAGAAAGACGAGTCAAATTAATTTGTTATTGTCTGATACACCAGCTTGTGGACTGAACAATAACAATGTGAAACAGAAAAAGGTTATTATAAATACTTAAAAAATGGCTGCGCCCATAGAGTTGCACCTAGTTCTATTAATACAACATGTACATTGGCATTTTACCCCCCTCCAGTTCATTGGAGTAACCTGGGCAAATGCTCTATGGCCGATTCCACCGTTGTGTTAAACGGAGATTAAAATGACATTGTTAATGTAAAAATGTAATTTTAAACTTCGTTTAACACAACGATGGAATCGGTCCTTAACAATGTCATTTTAATCTCCGTTTACCACAACAGTGGAATCGGCCCCAAACGAAACATGCTTGGGTCAAATCAAGGATAAAATGTTATTTTATAAATTAAATTTCAATATTATCAAGACATATTAATTTTAGAATGCCCCAATGGGCCAATGTTTTTTTGCAATTTTTCTGGTCTACTAGACTGAAACAGTGTTTCGCGGTCGACCATTGCATGCGCGAAACGTGATAATTTAGGTGTAATTTTAAAATTATCAATCAGTGGCCTCTCTATTGCTACATATCAACCATTAACTCCGAAAATGTTTTGGTATGGTATACAATAAAGCATAAAAAAATTATTTATTAACAGAAAAATATTTGTGAAAAGTTTCAAAAAAAGTTACGCCTTCCTTATAAGCGATGCCAGAAACGTATACGTAAACCCGTAAACGTATCTAATGACAGCTACGCATGCGCAATAGCTATTTTTCTCACGTATCTATTTACGTCTAACGTAAACATACGTGTTCTTACGTACGCCTGATACGCATTCGTATCGAGCCGAGCAAATGCTTCGGGAGATCCGATCGGACCCGAATTAATAAAACTAATGACAGATTGTAACTTTATATTGTTCTGATTTTTTAAATTTTGAGCCATAATACGAAACGAGTTTCATATATAACACATATCACATTTATTCCCAGAAAGTTCATTGAAAAAAATAAATTAGTAAAAATTACTGGACATTGATACTCGATTATTTGTTAGTCGATTATTAAAATTGAATCTCCCACATAAAACATCACTATTTTCCAAATTTTCTTTATTTTGTAGAATTTGTAATATACAGCCCTTAAATTTATAATTTACTCAATATAACCATCTACTTTTCTCAAAAAGTACCTAAGGTATAGATACGTTTACGTCAGTGCAGACTGCTCGTTTAACGTATCGTCAATTTCCACGTTTACGTCAGAGAGATACGCATACGTATCTAATCTTCCTTACAATAACCTTGCGCCGATCCTGTCTTGTTAGTACAGGAGCACCAACTTAAAATTCAATTATCATGGCGCCCAGCTTGTTTGGGGATCAAAATTTGTTTTAGGTGCTGTTCTAGGGCGGTTTCTGAGATCTATGATCTATGGTTATCGCCCTTTTTAAAATTATAAAACACTGTCCACTTTTATAACAATAAACTGAGTACTATTTATTAAACAATATGAAGATTTTTCTAGTACTCCATAATAATTAATACAATAATTAAATCCTCGAAATAAATGTAGAATCTAATGTCACTTTGACACGTCATTGTCATTTTTTAGGTTAGAAAAAAGGGTGTAATGTTAATGTTTATTTTGGAAAATAAGTAATCTACAAAGAAAAATGTTTAAAAAGCTCAAAGAAAAAATCACAGAAGAAGTGAAAATTTCACCACAAAGGTTTGTGGAATTCACTCAATCGGTTAGTGATAGATTACAAAACAATTCAACATCAGATGATAATTTCTTTTCAATAGGAGATGATGGTAATATATTTTCAAATTGCTAATTTTAAAACATTTTACTAATATGAATTAACATTTCAGATACAAATACCTCAGTAGATAGTAGTAGTTATGGATTTTCCAGTGTGCAATTAGTCTCTCCTCAAGAGAGGATTCGAAAAAGTTCCACATCCTCATTAGCCAGTGATGTCTCTTTTTTACCCAAATATGAACCCGGCAGCATGTATCATTTACAAGTAAGATATATTTTTTAGATACTGAAGACATACTGATAATAGTAAATTACAATTCAAATCTAGATAAATACAAATTTATTACATTATGATTTTGTATTATGTTAAGGATACTGGACAAGATTAATACATTAAAATACCAAGTCCATATTCATATCTGTTGTTCTAAAACTACCAATGTCTATTTTTGGGTGCAACAGAAAAATATTCTAGACAAATGTAGGTGAATAAAATATTATAAAAGGTAGAACGAGCCTATAAACTAAATGGTGTAAGTATGTCTATGTATGAGCATGTCTAGCCTTACCGACAAAAGCTGTAGTTAATCTTCGATTATTCTATTTGTGATAATGTTCTTAATAGAGTAACTGAGATATAAGACTTAGGAGTTTAACCTACATTTACGGGGTTATGATGGACAAGTAATGTTATTTTTAACAGACACGTTATTTGTGAACAGGTTATAATTCCTCTGTGTTTATAAAATAACAGACCTGTTAAAAATAACACAGGTTGTCAATCATAACCCCCATAATCAGATCACTGATAAAGCTTTAAAAACACTTGGATTTATAATGAGAATCTCTAGTGTTCTCTCAATACATTCAGTCAAAGAAGTATATTCTGTATATATCAGATCCGTGCTTGAATATGGACTGCCTATCTGGACACCTTTTTACAATGTCTATATTTCGTCTATTGAAGCTGTTCAGAATAAGTTTTTAAGATACTGTGAATACAAATTGAGATTATTGGGGAATATGAGTATGAGGGCATACAGAGATCATTAAATTTAGAATCACTGGAATTTTGTGGATTGACTGTTGACCTTGTTATATTATTTAAATTGATTTCGGGTTTAACTAATTCAGGTCCAACTAATTCTGGTCCATATTCCTCAAAGGTGCATGAGATACAAAGACTTGTTTATTGTGCCCCTTTCAATCAACAAAGTATGGCTATTTTAGTCCTTTCTCAAGAATGGTTAGAAAGGCCAATGAGTTAGATTCGTTGGGTTTGAATTCATTACTTAAATTTATTTAATTAATTGGTACTATGATCTTGTTGGAACCAGCTTTGTGGGACATGGAGAATGCTCACTGCCGTATTCTATTTTTATGGATGTATAAATGTTTTATTGATTTTAATTATTCTTTTTTATTGATTTTGTAATCATTGATCATTGCTATTTCATATTAGTATTTAAATTTAAAAAAATTTATTATACCTTTGCTGCCTGTAGGGGTATTTAGCTGTAGCTTTTTTGTTGTTTGTCACTTGCTATAAACATGTAATTTAAATGTAATGTAGTCAAATAAAATTTACTATCGATTTTTTTTTGTCAATTTATATTCTTTTAAAAAAACAGAAGTAGATATCAATAGGTTTGTATTCTTGTAAATATTTGGTTATACACTGTATATTTTTCTATTGTATTGTATATTATTTTTTTCATAATGGGGTTTTCCCATATAATAAATAAATTCTAATTGTTAGAGATTTATTTCTAAACAAAATATTTTTAGTGTCAAGTCTCAGGGGGTAACTTATTATCGACTCCAAAGTTTTCTAAATATATATGTACATATTTTTGTGTATCTTATATACATTACAAGTAAAAAAAAATATATGAATTATATTGTATGTACTTGATAACTTTATATATAGTGATCCACAATTTTTTTTTTTCTAAAGTAGGCCTTTAAAAATCCAGGGATGTGGAAGTGTACAATTCTTCTTCTTTTTAAGTGTCAGTTTAGATTTAATTCAGTCCTATCATAGACATAATAGCCCTAGAGCCCATCGCAAATTTTGGCTGTCATCTGGTAAGGAAGTGAAATATACTCGGAAGACATGTAAAAACATTGGACTTTATCAAGTGGCACTATCCTGAGAAAAGTGGTTAAAAAATGCAAATGAAAATAGAATTTATTACGTTTATATGGTTATATTTGGAAGTATTCCAGAAAATAACATATTTAAACATTTCTTCAGTACATCGTTAAAGAGGGAAACACTTTTTTCCTCTTATCATCATACAAAAAATATTTATTTATTTATTTACTTATTTATTTATTCAAATACACAGAGTTAAAAAAAAATAACAATAAATACATGTATGTAGAATACCTACACAAAAATATCACATTCACAAAATCACATACATAGAAATAGGTTTAAATATTAAAGCTCAAAAAAACAAAAAAAAATTATTTTGAAAGTTTCAAATTACTCTTTAGCGCATACATAACATAACAAGGATTTTATTTACAACGTTAAAGTTTATCTACATGTTCAGAATATGGAATAGTATTTCAACACTACCGGGATCTTCTCCTTTCGTGGTGGTCTAGAGTCCGCCCGGACTTGTCCAACCTATATCTACCCCTTATTCTGAAAAAAAAAAAAAATGGTCAAATATTACGGCCCTCACTACTTACCATGCGATATTATTGAGGGATTATGATAGTTATGGAATCGGTAATGGGAATTTGTTAAAGGATATGTCGCGTTTGAGTTATGGTTTTTGTCCCCTGAAAAAGCTAGAAAAAACAGGGTTGTCCTTGTGTGTACAGTTGTTTGTTTAGTCTATAGTTCAGTAATACAACTCACAGGCAGATTGCTCGATACACCGTCCATCGAGGCAACAATCGCAGGTTTCGCGCTCGTTGCTCCGATGGCCAGTCTACCGTTCAGTCCGCCGTCCGACTGGTTTACGTTAGTATCTAGATCTAGTCGGTGTGGGTTGTTGTTTAGTTTGTCTGGGATCGTTAAGGAGGAATGTTGTAGTATTTTTGTTGTAATTATTGTATGTTTCTGTGTCTGTATATGTCTAGTTTCGAATGTAAACAGCCGTGTTTTCTACGCACGCCGTCCCCGCGATAGATGCTAAAGATGTCATCTTTTACATAATCGGGGAGACACCGCGTGTAGAAATTCTCGGCTGTTTCGAGTATATAGTCCTTGATTCGTGGAGTCTGAGTTTGTATGTGCATGTCTTCAATTCTTGCATAGCAGTCGTAGCCCAGTGCTAGCCGAAGACATCTGTTCTGTGCAATATGCAGTTTACTAAAGTGACAATTGAAGTTTGTTTTGCAGGGTGACTTTGTTCCTTCTGTTTAGAAGGGGATAGAGAGTTTTTATCGCAGCTTCGTTTTTAGCCACCCTGTCTTTGATGTGCCGATTGAAAGTCAGTCCCCTATCTAATTGAAAACCGAGATATTTTAAATGATCTCCAGTGTCCACCTGTTGCCCCTGGATGTTAAGGGGTGTACGAATAATTCCCTTAGTTCTACGTTTGGTTATAAGCATACTTTCTGATTTTTGTGGATTTATTTTAATCTTGTTTTCGATTAAATAGGGAACTAACTTCCTATTTATATGGATGGCCAGTGACCTGAGGGCGCGTTCTGCTGAATAATCGCATTTGTACAGACATATATCGTCGGCGTACAGTGCCGTTTGTACCCCATTATTACCCATTGGCATGTCATGGGTCATAATGGTGTACAAATGCGGCGAAAGTACTGAGCCCTGGGGTACTCCCGCCTGCGCGATGTATGGTCCTGTCGTTGTATTATTGATTTTTACGTTAAATTGTCTGTCCGTTATGTAAGAATGAATAGTCTTTACAATATGTACGGGGAAATCATTCACAAGCATTTTGTGGATTAACCCGCAGGTCCATACAGAATCGAAGGCCTTTTCGCAGTCAAGAGCGACAAGTACCGTTTGTTTACTTATGTTGGTGGCCTCTTTGGCATAGTGAGCGATTCGTAATATTTGAGCAACGGTACTATGCCCCCTTCGGAACCCGTACTGTTCCTGCGGGATAAGTCTGAGCGTTGTTCAATGTTATTTAGTCTATTTAAAATAATTGAGTCTGTTATTTTTGTTATTGTATTCAGCAACGAGATGGGTCGATAGCTTTCGATGTTTTTGGGGTTTTTACCTGATTTTAAGATGGGAATAATATTTGCAATCTTCAGGCAACTGGGATAATGTTGTAACCTGAAGATTGCATTTATTATATAGTTGAGTTGCACAACCCCCTTTTTTGGAAGGTTTTTAAGTAGGATGTTATTAATGCCATCCGGCCCCGGAGCTTTTCTGTTTTCGAGTCGCCTGATTGCATCCCCTACCTCTTTAGGAGATGTCATGATAGAATGAGGGACGTGAACTGGGTCAGATGCGCCGATTTTATTAATTAGTTCTTCGATTTGATTTTGTTGTTCATTATTCACGTATTGGTTTGTGAAGTTACGCTGAAAATGTTCGCCGAAGGCGTGAGCGTGAGGGAAGTTGTGAGCTGGGTTTTTTATACCTTCTTACAACCCCCCACAATGAATTGTCTCCGGGGTTCACTTCAGACAGGGTTTTTTGCCATATTTTATTTCTATGTTCATTTATTTGAGTGTTCGTATGCCTGGCAATGTCCATTAGCATAACCCTGTCTTCCGATCTCCTGTGTAACTGCCACCTTTTGCGTATTTTGTTTTTGTTGGTAATCAGTTCAGTGATGTCAGGTGGCAGTATGTCTTTGTGTAGTGATGTTGTTTTGATTTTTGTGGAGTCGTTTCTAGCTTTTTGTATGGTTTGTATTAGGTCTTTTGTGGTGTTTTCTAGCAATTCAGGGCTATTTATATTATTGTTGAGTGTTAATTTGTCGTTTATAATTTGTCTGTATTTATTCCAGTCCGTAGTTTTGAAGTCATAGTACAGTTTTTGCTGTCTGTTAATTTTTTGTGTTGTCCTTAACTCCAAGCACACTGGATCGTGGTCCGAGTTAATGGTACTTATTGTTCGTATATTTTGAATATCGGGTATGTTTTTCGTGACCGCGATGTCCAGTGTGCTAGGGGTAGTTCCATTAAATGGGGTGTGCGTCGGTTCGTCTTTATAGTGGACTTTTATGTCGTATGATTGCATCAGATCCTCTTCGATCTGTTCCAGGGTGGTACCCTCCGCTATTCCTCTCAGCACAAACGCGTGCGATTTATCGG